AAAAAAAAAAAAAAAAAAAAAGCCAAGTGTGGTGGCACATACTTGTAGTTCCAGCTACCCAGGAAGCTGAGGTGGAAGGATTGCTTGGGGCCACGGCTTCAAGGCTGCAGTGAGCTATAATCACACCACTATACTCAAGCATGAGTGACAGAGTGAGACCCTGTCTCTTGTTTTAATTAAAAACAATAGTAGACAGAAGTAAGGAGCAAGACTCTTGAGGCAAAATGATGAGATGATGGCAAGAAATTCATTGGAAAAGTTCTTTAAATGATTGAAAAGCACTGGAGAAGATGGTCCTAGAGACAGACATTTGAGAATCTCTGCATAGATGTGAATTTTGAAGATCAGGGCTGGGCTTTTTCCTAGTTTGCCCATACTCTTAGAATGCAGAGCTTCTGGAGTTGCAACAGAAAGCCAGGACCGTTTACCAAGGCCAGTCCACCTTTGGGTCCTGATCTCCATTCAGTTTGTCTCCCTAGCATTTCAAAATGATTGAAGGCTACCAGTAATGTAGGCTCCCAGCTGTAGCTTTCTGCTTAGTTTCTAGGAACCTTACTCCAGGCATGTATCTAAAGTACCTTTTGTGGAAGTGGGAGGCTTAATTAACAGGGTTGGTTGGGAGATGAAGGAAAGAAGTCTAAAATCTGAGATAAAAGAATATTTTGGGATTCAGGATGTGACCCTGCCACTCTGGTATAATTAGACTTCTATAGTCTGCTAAATGATGTCGTGAGAGATAACAGAACCAGGTACCAGAAGAACATCATAATAAGCAGGTGGGAGAAGACTTCTGGTAAAGCAAACTTAAGAAAGCCTATCCAGAGAGAGATCCAAGATGGCCGATTAGGAGCAGCTCAGGATTGCAGCTCCCAGTGAAAACACAGAGGGTGAGTGGATGCCACATTTCCAGACGGATTTTTGTTGCCCATGGACCAGGAGATACCCAGGCAGAGGAGCCCCACGGGTCGCCAGCATGACTCTTTTGGCCGGTGCAGCTGTTTTGCTGGCGCCCCGGTGTGGCGGCTCTCAGCACAAAATACACAGGACTCGGTACCCTTTTGGCTGGCAATTGGAGCTCCAGGAAGGCAGAGCCACCCATTCAGCTGATTAAAAAGGGGACTGAAACAGGGAGCCAGACCAGGAGATTCCCAGGCAAAAAAAGTGCCACAAATCTCAACGCCACTGTTTCAGCCAGTGCAGTGGGTCGCCACACAGGAAATCACACAGATCCTGGCACCTTTTCAGCAGGTGATTGGAACACCTGGGAGAGAGTCGACAATTCAACTAAAAAAAAAAAAAGACTCGAGTCATGGAGCCAGATCAGCAGCCGCAGCTCCCAACACCACCTCAACTAAAAAAAAAAAAAAAAAAAGGCTCTGAGACAGGCTTGGCTGGTCCCACCCCCACAAAAAAATGGTAATTGGAAACGCTGTGGGTTGAGAGTTTCACAGCAAGCACAGCTGAACCTGGGAAGGTTCAACTCTATGCCGGAGGGGCATCCGCCATTACCGAGGCACTCCACCACTACAAGGTAGGCTGCCTCCTTGCTGGGCAAGGCAGCCCTGAAAAAAAAAAAGGCAGCAACACAACGGAAACTCATAAATAAAGCCCTAACTCCCTGGGACTGAGCACCTGGGAAAAAAAAAAGGGAGGGAGGTTTATGAGTTTGCAGCAGCAGACTCAAACGTACCTGCCCAGCAGCTCTGAATGAATAACAGAACTCACAGCTCAGCACTTGAGCACCTATAAAGGACAGACTGTCTCCTCAAGGAGCTCCCTGACCCCTGTATACCCAAAGAATTACCTCATAAAGCAGAGCTCAGACTGACATTTGGCAGGTATCCTTCTGGGACAAGGATAACAGAAGAAGAAACTGGTAGCAACCCTTACAGTTCTGCAGCTGCTGCAGATGATCCCCAGGCAAGCAGGGCCTGGAGTGGACCTCAGCAGTCCTACAGCAGAGGGGCCAGACTGTTAGAAGGAAAACTGAGAAACAGAAATAACTGTATCATCAACAAACCAGACATCCACTCAGAGACCTAATCTGAAAGTCAGCAACTACAAAGACGACAGGTGGATAAATCCACAAAGATGGGAAGAAACCAGTGCAAAAAGGCTGAAAACACCCAAAACCAGAATGCCTCTCCTCCTACAAGGGATCACAACTCCTCACCAGCAAGGGAACAAGGCCTGATGGAGAATGAGTGTGATGAATTCACAGAATCAGGCTTCAGAAGGTGGATAATAAGAAACTTCTGTAAGCTAAAAGAACATGTTCTAACCCAATGCAAAGAAACTAAGAACCTTGAAAAAACATTTGATGAAATTCTAACGAGAATAGACAATTTAGAGAGGAATATAAGTGAATTGATGGAGCTGAAAAACACAACACGAGAACTTCGCGAAGCATACACAAGTTTCAACAGACAAATTGACCAAG